GCCTGACTCTGGGCAGCCCTGACCTTAAAGGTTTGACCTTATCCGCCCATTGAAGGAACTTGGCTTCTTCATTAGTGTAGTTCTTCTGGGTACAACTTCTAAATCTGTTAATTGAATGATCTGTAGAAGCCCTCTGGATGAGGAATGCAATGTTTTTCTGTAGAATCTTCTTCTAATTAAAAGTTTTACCTTAAATCCACACAGTGAAGTTATCTGGAAAGGCTTCATTTATTTAGAAGAATCTGCTCACTTTACTGCTTAAGATTCCAGCTTCATTATGTTGCAAGGGTGACGTCATTTCTGGCCACGTGTTTGGGTCTGAGAGTATTTAATCCTTGCTAACTGCTAACCTGGGTTCATTCTTAGTTGAAACGTTGTATGGGTTGAAATTTTGTTTTGCATACACTGTACAAAAATCACAGTAAAGTTTCAGTCTAAAACGGTTAGCTGCCTGCGGTTTCTACTAGATCTTATTTTATGGGGTTTTTTTCTGTTCATTTTTGCTGTTAAGATTGGGTGATTCCAACTGCATAACCATGTCCTTCTTTTAAATGCTGTTTATTTTATTTTTACATTCTGATAAAGTCAAAGAAGTTTTATTCACATGCTACTACCACAGATGATCTCGCTCTCTAAATGGAATTGAACGATTCAGATTAGCTAGAATGAATAGAAGGGGTAGAGCGTAGCCGCCTGTNTTTACTGTTTTTTTATTTCCTCCTGTTTCTGTTGTTTGTTATACATAAAAAAAAGATCAGGAAAGAACCCCTATTAATGGAGTTTAGATTGTATTGTTAGCAGTGGAGCTAAGGTTATGTTGAATATGTATGAGTAGTTGTTTCACCTGCAGTCAGAGGAATGTCCTGTTTCTGAGGACAAAGAGCAACGGCTCAGAGGTGGACCTATTAGCCTTTCACAATAAAGACCCCTGGACATGAATTCTGCATTACTCCAATAATCTAAAAACGCCTCGTCGATCTGATGAGTGAAAACATAACCTGGCCTGTGAAGCTAACTTGGTTTCCCTCCCCTCATGTTTTGGAACAAACCATCAGGGCCTCCAGGCCGGTAATCAGGTAGCAATGGGAAAATCAACAAATTCATTTTAGGAAATAAGAGGAAGAAAAAAAAATGTTTCTTCTAAATTAATCCAAAGTAGAAATACCCCTAAACCTGTAAAGTCATGGTTTTACTTTCTTCAGTGGAGCTAGTGAAATATTACCAGTAGGCTTACTGCACCAGCAGGAATTTCCCCATGATTCCTCTCACTGAGGTCTACTAGAATCCAGCTTTATCTAATATTCTGAATAAACTAGAGAAGTTCATCAGATTCCCACATTTCATTTTCCACAGAGCAGACAATATTTCTGCTAAATCCTGACATGTGAGTCTTTCACCATTGAACGACCCTTAAAAACACATCTGAACATGTTTATAAGATTATATAACCATTTAACCAAATGTAAAGTGTGTAGCTGACTTAACTACACACTGCTTCCCTGTTAATCTAATCTGCAAACATACTTTTTTTTAATGTTTTCATTGATTACATCTAGGTCTGTGTTGCTGCCTGCTTTTTACAAGTTACAAAAATAACGGTGAAAAGTCCTTGAAATGGCGAATTAAAACACCAAAAACAGAAAGAGGCCCGGTTAAATGCTGTTATCCTGTTAGGCTGATAGACGTCTCCACAGAGCTGCATAATTAGTACTGATCCTGAGGAAACCCCATTTACACCAACCCTCTAAAACCGACGGCAGAAAGAAAGTTGTGGATAAAAGTGCAACAGTGTGCAAGCATTGTGCAACACGTTTTGTTTATGCTAACAGCAACACGACCAACATGTCATCCTAATCCCGAAATCCCTCATACTCCATCAGCACTCCGCTCCGCCCCGCTGCGCTCCAGACCGCCTGATCAAAGCAAAGCCTACAGCCTCCACTGTGGCTCCCGTCCGCTCCGCTCTGACTTCCTTGGAGATGGTAGAGGGCATGCGCCAGATGATTAAATTCAAAGCAGCGGAAATGATAATGGTTTCTGCAGATCATTAAAAATAATTACAATTCATTAATTTTTTTGGATTTTTTCATTAATTCCATAAATTCTTATGGGATTTCGGGGTAACGATCAACATATACCGAACCGAAAACCGTGACCAGAAACCGTGAACCGAACCGTGGATTTTGTGAACCGTTCCACCCATAGTTTTTAGCGACTTTTCAGTCCCATCCAGACTCTTTTTAAAAAAAAAAGCGACTAGCGACAAATCTAGCGACTTTTCTGGTGTCAGTGGCGGCTTTTGGAGGCTCTTAGGTGAAAGCACGTATCGTTCCTACTCTTGTCCTGCAGCAGCATGTGCTGCCGTGGGGCGCCTTCCCCGTCCCAACCCCGTTCTCCCTCTCAGCGCTGCAGTCAGAGCCACAGCATGGTTACCCTCACGGTAAACATGCTGCATGCACTCTCGCGGAATGTAAATGTAAAATGTTATTTGGTCTAAAATAAATAACTGAAATGGAAATGTTTTATCTTAAATAACGGCAACAGTCACTTAATCAACTTGTCCATTGTGTTTTCCTTGCTAAGATAATGATTTGTAGGCTCCTTAGTGGACCACAAGGGAAAAAAAACTTAAAAAAATTTTTTT